CTTGCAGCACAGCTCCACCTCAGCTTTTCCCACTTGGAATTGCATTCAGCCAAGAGATCAACTCATTTCACAGTACCTCCCATGTCTAAACAGCAGTGGCATCCTTCGAATCAATTTAATTCAGTGCCTTACCAGCCAAAGAGCCCAGAACCTGCTAAATGAACTCCTCAAAACAGCAAAACTTACTGAGAAGTGCCAGCAGGGTGGTCTGGTTCTACATCTCCTGACCCCCAGCAGTCAGGGTGAACCAAATTAATGCAGACCTTTTCTTTGAACTGTTTATCCCAAATCGTACCATTTCTCATTTGGGATATCTTAGGCAACCACTCCCTTGGCAAAACTGAAGAGGTTTGATGACAGGGCTGGAGGGACAAGTCCCTAGAGGGACTTCCTTCCTGGTCCAACCTTTCGCAGAACTGGATCTTTCTACACACGATGTCTACTATGGGTCTCAGCTGCTTTCCCATTGACTCTTTGTGCTAAATGGCTGGGTGAGAGCCTTCCTTCTTACAAAGAGAAGGAAGTGGAAGAACTGATGTATATAAAGCAAAGTTACCTCTTCCCCTTTTAACCTGTGATCTTTATCCTGATATCTGCAATAAATCATTGAGATACAATTACATGGTAGCGGGCAAACCTGACTCATTCTTAAACTGTTCTACTTTTACGTGGGTGTCTCCCAGGACAAATATTATCTGCAAGTGCATCTAGACTGGAGATAAAAAATGTATTTTTAAAGATATTAGATAATATGGCTTAACTAACACATTCTGAAACCTTGCATAGGTAGGGCAAGTCAATGTTAAAAAGTGTTAAAAAGTGTTTGCTAGGTCATTCTAAAAATACAGCTCTTATACCAGTCTAGACAATGCCAAAATAGTTTTAAAAATGACACACAGTTCTTATGGGAAGTCCCACTGTAGCAGCCAAGGAGAATTATAACATAGGAAATGATCAATACAAGTATCTCTATGTAGGTCTTCAAAGCAATGACAAATTAACAGGTGGGGAAACCCTCCAAAGTCTTGTCTAGACTACAGGAGAGGATTTAAAAAAAAAAAAAAAAAAAAGGTGTTTTTCCCTAGATTCACTTTGGTCGGGTTCTCTTTCTTAAAAAGCAAAACCGACTTAAAGTCTATTAAGGTTACCACCTTCTGCTCCGTTTTACCAGATAGGTTCTCTTTCTTAAAAAGCAAAACCAACTACCACCTTCTGCTCCGTTTTACCAGATGATCAGGCCTGGCTGACTGTAACTCAACCTGCTAAAGTCGTGCTGTTACAGATATTGAAAAGTCTTCAGATGTGTCAAGAGTTTTCAGTCCTTAAACTTGCTTGAATTAGTTCTCTGAGTGCTTTCTCTTGGGCAGTTGCTGGTTCATTTTCATGCCCCTCTTAATCTTTTGCACAGACGCATTTGCCCATTTTAATACATTCATGAATGCAAAGCTCAGTGGTGCCTTTACCATTGGTATTTCTGCTTGACTTTGAACACCAGTGCTCCTATTTATGGTGATATCTTTATGACATGGGTGGGTATCTGTCTGGTTGAACAAAAATCTAGATTTCAATTAGTCCTATCAGAAAATGCCTTTCTGATATGGTTGGGTATGTGACCTTCAGGACAAAAAATGACAAGTCACTAGCTCAGTTGAAATGGATGAGTGATTCCTTGGCCATACCTTCTGGTGACAACAGTTGCATTATCTGAACTTGACTTTCTTGAGACTCCATGGTTTGAGTAGCCATTTGTCAACAGCTGACAAATGCTGGAGCTGCAAAAAGCAGCCAACAAAATTATCACAATTAGTCTCTCTCACAGGTCTTGCAAGTTTTGGTGGGATGTACTGCATCACCTCAAAATTTTAGAAATACGCCCTTATTTCTTGAAGAAAATGAATGTTTCCTATGCTTTTGAGGCCTGAACCAAAGAGCGTGCGATTCAGATTAGGACGGAGGCACCCCTGGCTCTCAGTAGCAGGTCTTCTATAAGCACTTGCTGTCACCTACAGTCCTGGACAAAATCTCTGTCCTTATTAAGCCCAAACTGATGTTAAACATTAATGGGACGCTGATCCAAATAAGACCAGCAAGCTCTGATCTGCTGCAGGCTCTTAATGCAGATTTTTAGCACTGCCTGTCCTGAAACTACTCAGGTGCTAAAACAACAGACAGTTTTAAACCTTTAAACCTTTTTTAACTTTTCCCCCCCAAAACCTTTTTTTTTTTTTTCCTTCTTCTTTTCTTTTTGGGGCTGCTTAATCTGAATGGCAGTAATGTCAATGCATGGATTTTTTTCCTCCTTGCAGGAGGAGCCATCTACAAGCAGACTTTTGGGAGAGGCCTAAGATAAGTTACACATGTCCACTCCAGTCAGGAGCAAAGCTCACCTTGCCCCGCTACACACAGGGGCAGCTCCTGCTCTGTGAAAGGGGACATTTAAGCCCCGAAGTTATTATTTCCTATTATTGTGCAATAAAGGAGCTCTGGACATCCCCGCACGGAGCATCAACGTGTCCGGGTGCACAAACACTGCCCCCCGCAGCGGGCACCTGCAGGCCGGGGAGCCACGCTGTTTAAGGAGTCAAAGTACATAGGCAGCCGGGTCGATACCCTATTAGGCTAGAAACAGTTCTGAATATCAAAGGGCGACGAACCTAATGACTAAAAATATAAGTACCTGACCCGGAGGATTAATCACACACTGTCAGGCTGCAATTGGTGCAATTCTTCCAATCATTAACGTTTTGCTTACAAAAATGTGCTTTTCTGTTTGTTTTCCTGCTAAATGATAACCATTTTCATGTTGAATCTCCTGATAAAAGAGAGTCGAAAACAGGACGGGAGTTGTGCTGTAAAGGTCATACGTGCTAGATCGGCACGAAATAGCCAACAGGCAAACAAATACGAGAAGGCAGGGCGGCACGGAAGGGGCTCGGAGCTTTTACCCAGCGGCGTAAAGGATTTCGGCTGCGTTTTCTCCTCTCCCGGAGAAGGAGAGGCCCCGACGGCTGCTCCGGGAGCCCCCTGACCAGGGAAGTCGCTACAAAGTCCGCAGCGGCTTTAAGTTAAAAAAAATAAAAATATATATAATTTAAAAAAGGTTAAGATTAAAAAAAAAGTTATTTAATGAGCCTAAAATGCCGGTTTTGTGACACGACGTGAGCAAATCCGCGTGGTTTCTGCCGAGCCTTCTCCCTCCTCCCGGGCCACATGGGCGGTGTAGAGGGTCTCGAGATGGCTGTAGGCGGGGGTGACACCCTTGGAGGTGACACCCCTTCACCGGTGCTCCGGGCGTCCCGTACCCTCGGGCTGCGACTCTGCCCGACGTGTGTCCGCGGCCGGGCCAGGCTTCCGTGGACGAAGGGACGGGAGAGGAGGGCGGTGGGGACTCACCGAGGCCGTTTCCATCCCCGACGGGCTGCAACGCGCGACAGAAACACCGAGCACGGAGGAGGCCGCTCCGAGCTCCGTCGTGACAACCCCCCATGCTCCGCGCTCCTCCCGAGGCGCAGAGGAGCTGGGCACAGCAGCCCGAGGGGGTCTGGGAGCTCCTCTGCTCCCTCCGGGCTTCAAAGCGGGGGTCGGAGTCCAGAGGAGCGAGCGGAGGGAAGGCTGAGACCTCCCGACTTTCCCACCTCTTCCTCTTTCCAGCGCGCACTAGCAGAGGGAAGCGAAACCGCCCAGGTGATTTGAATGATTTAAGTTCCCTATCACGAATGTAGTTTGAAAATAAAATAAAATAAAATAAAATAAAATAAAATAAAATAAAATAAAATAAAATAAAATAAAATAAATTCGCAAAACGATCAGACAGTTATTCAGAAAACAGACTTGCTATTTCTAGAAGCTTTAACCTGCTTGGACCTAACACCGGGCTCCTCTAAAGACAGTACCGGATCCGTACTCCATCGCCAGTCAAAATAATAATTTCTCACTCCGTAAAATCCTTCCTTGACGTTAAGATCTCCTGGGGGCGGGGGAGGCTGGAGAGTCTCTGCCCGGGGCGACGCCGAGGGTACCTGAGCACTTTCTGCAGTGCCCGGGCGCAGAAAGGGGGGAGCTGAAGATGCTGAGGTCTGTGCCTGGTACTAGACAAAAAATGTTACCTATTTCCAGGATCCATGTCATTTCACGGGCCATTCAACGAAAATTAAATAGCGGGTTTGTTGGGAGGGACTCTTAGGACTGAACGAGTTTGTAGATATGAAGGCGATAAAGCCACAGGGCTTTTGGAGTGAGCCCGCAGGTACCGAGGTGTCTGCAAGAGGCGCTGCCTCCGCCCCGCAGCCACGGCCCTTTCCTTCTCACAGCGGGGCCCTATCGCTTCGCTCCTCACATTTTTTTTTCCCTCAAACACGAAATCTGGCAAAACCAGAGCTAGAGATTTCCAACGAGGAAAAAAAAAAAAAACTCTTTTTTTCCCCCTGCAAATGGGACCGTGCAGATTGTGGAGCAGAGCCTGGCACTATCTGCGGAAACACCAGGGGGTGCGGGCGCTTCATCCCAGGCAAGAGCAAAAACGAGTCTGTCCAAAGACATTTCCCGATAAAACAGAGGGAAGTCCCGTTAGAGAGCACCACGGGAAGTAAAACACGGGTATAAGGCACTTATCACGACGGTGAAATCCCTGTGTATTTCATGGAACACATTTCTCTGCCTGGGAAGGGTGTTTAAATTAATTTATTTAGACTACATTTGTATACACATACAAAGGGCTTAGTCCTGCAATCCATACTCACTCCCACACGGGACAGAAAGGGGTTTTGCCTGATCACCAACAGCAGCTGATTCAGACCCCCGTGCATATGGGCAAGAGGGAGTATTAGATTCCAGTCTGAACATTAATTAATGTACAAATATATCTTACAAATTAAATACAAACCACGGATCTGTTCCTTTAACCAAATTAGAAATCTGCCAAAAAAAAAAGAAAAAAAAAAGACCGTGAAAAATAAGTCTCTCTCTCTCTCTGCTTATTATAAAACGAGTCTGATTTGGTCTTTTTTTCAGGGGAACGGTGAAAGTTTTCTCCTGCAATAACCTGTTCTCCAAAGCCAGCCCCTGGTAAAGTGCAAGCCGAGTCAGGGTCCGCTCTCCGGCGCGGGGCCGTCAGTGGGCAGCGTTGTTGTAGTAGCCCTTGTCGCCTTCGATGTCCACTTCTTGGTCGGAGTCGTCGGAGAGCTCGGACTCCAGGTCCTCGTGAGAGGCGGGCGAGGGGGGGAACTGCGAGCCGTCCAGGGGCACCTCCTGGCCCTTGCGCTCGGGGCTGGGGCAGCTTTCCGGCCTCTGGGCAGCAGCGCCGTCTGTGCCTTCGGCCTCCTCCTTTTTGGCGGCCTGCGGGTTTTCCTGCAGTTAATTAAAGGGGAGAGAAACCCTCTGGAGCACCGACCGCCTCGAGAGGTCGGGGGGCAGCGCGCTGGGCTCGCCAAAAGTGACTCCGGAGCAGCCCGGAAACCTCTGCACTGGGGCTTTAAGCAAGGAAAAGGTTTGTGGCGCCTCTGCCCACACCGACGGGCCGCTTCCTCCCGCCCCGATCTTCCTTTAGCTGCACTTGGCGGCAGAAGGAAGGAGGTCGAGTCCATCGGTAGCCCAGAATAAACGGGGGAAATGCCTAATTAAGGCGGAAAGGTAAAATTCGCCATTAAAACGCATATGATCGAAAAACAAAACAGAGCAGCCCTGGCTTCCTAGGGCAGGGGCAGCCCTGCGCTCGGAGCGCTCCTGGAGCCTCGTCCCCCAGGGGTCCCGAGCTGCTGCTCCTGCTTCCCAAGGGGGACAGGGCCAGGCGCGCCGGGCCGAGGGGCTGCGACCGCCTGAAAAGGAGGAAATGACTTAAAATGGCCGAGATCCCAGCGGCTCCACGGCCGGGGCAGCGCGGGGAGACCGCGGGCAAAAGCGCCAGCAAAGGGCACCGCGCTTCTTTCTCTTTTCTTTTCTTCTCTCTTTTTTTTTTTTCTTTTTCCTTTTTTTTTTCTCTTTTTTTTTAGAGGCAAGATCGGGTCCTTTTGGCCATTAAAAATAGAGAGAGAGAGGGAGAGATGTATCCACTTGAGCACGTTTTCCGATTAAAGCAAGGGACGAACGTGATGCCAGCGCTCAGCCTCGTACACTTTAACGGTTCGTCAACGAAAAGTAAAAGCTCCTATTTTTTCCATAGGGCTCCTCAAAGCAAACAGGGCGTTTGCACCTGCTTCTCTCAACCTTTGTGGAATAAATCGACTTTGCGTTTACTCAGGGGGCGACTAAAAAGAGCAATAAATATTCTCCTCCAAGACAACTGCTTAAGTAACCGACTGACAATTACTTATCTTCTCCACGTTAATTGGATAAACAACATATGGGTTTACAAAACAATTAGCGCGGAGTTTTAATAGGCGGTGTGTGAAGCCCGACCATAACTGATATAGGAGCTACATTAGGAGCTTTTAACATTAGTGCTGCCTGAGCGAACCCTCATGGATTCCAGCAGGACTATTTGCCTTTTTAATCAAGGTGAAGAGGTTAAACAGCCTTTCAGATGACTTCTGCATACAACAGGGAATAGGCGATCACGGTGTAAGATAAGACAATTAAAACACTTATTTCCATAGAAACGGAAACATCCCCGTACCTGCTTTAGACGCCTCCATTTGGCCCTGCGATTCTGAAACCACGTTTTGACCTGAGCAACGAGAACGAGAAAAATAAAATAAAAAAGAAAGTGGGCTCGGAGCCACGGAGCAGCGGCTGGGGCTCGGGCAGCCCCGACGGCGGCGGCGGCGGCCCCGGCCTCGCTGCGCGGCGCTCGGGCCGTCGGGGCGGGTTAGGCCTCACCTGCCTCTCGCTGAGCTGCAGCATCTTGGCCAGGCGCTTCCTCTCGGGCGGTGAGAGGTATTTCTGCGTCTCGAACTTCTTCTCCAGCTCGATGGTCTGGTCGTTGGAGAAGCGGACCTGGCCTCCTTTCCTCTTGTGCAGCGGCCGCTGGATGAAGGGGCTCCAGAGCAGCGGCTTCCCTTCAGAGAGAGACACGACGGGTCACCCCACGGGACGGGACGGGCCGCCCGGGGTGGGGGGCTGCGGTCGCTGCACGACGGGTCTGACCCGATGACGGGCCAGGAGGTGCCGCGGGTTCAGGGCCCGCGATTTTCTTTGGCCTGATTTTATTTCTCCCAGTTGCGAGCCCGATCTTTCGCCTCTCCTGATTTTTCCTCTCCGCTAAAAGGAGAGACCTGTTAAAGCCACCCGACGGGCTTTGGCAACGTTTCCGTCAATGTGTTTCCTGTTGGTCTATCGCACGAAGAAAAGAGAGAGAGAGAGAACAAGAAGAAAAAAGAAAGAAAGAAAAAAGTCCTTTCCTTCTGCTCTGTCACTGCATGCCCCAAAGAAGCGTCTCCCCTACTCCGTACCCCGGGAGAGCGGGACCCCTGCGGGGCTCAAGGCGGATATTTCGGGGGAGCCAGCACGAGGGGACGAAGCCCCCGGCTCTAGGCAAGAAGCCCCCACGAGCTCCCCGGTCGGGGGTGTCGCCGACCCGACGACCTCGGGTTCCGCCCCGACCCGCGTTTCTCCTTCTCCCTGGCCAGGGCCACTGAGTCACACTGTTTGTCTTGCTGTCTTGCTGCCTGCACCCTTTGAAATTCGCTGCATTGTTTTTCAAGATTTTGCTTGCGTCAGGCTTTAGTAATTCTGGTGCAAAACAGACTCAAAAAATAGGAAGCAACTGGTTATTTTAGCTGTCATAAAGTCACATCCCACACAGAGGAAATGAACAATATCAGAAAAACGGATCCTGGCTATCAGAAGTCGAGTGTTTCCTGAATTTGTCTGTATTGAGGATGTCGATAAAGTAATCAGCAATGTGCACGACTCCCGGGGAAGAGCCTGCTTCGGGCGGCCAGGAAAACACTTAACAGCTTCTGAAACCAGATTTACTCCTATCGAGAGCTCAAGGTTTCCTGTATGAACGGAAAGGGTCAGTCTCTTTCACTGCACCAGTGTGGTGAGTCAGGTCCAGTTTTGCAATCCCGCGGAGCGGGAGCCGCGGAGCGACGCGCAGGGCAGCGCGCCGGGGCGCTCACGGCAGCGGCAGGAAAGCGGCTGCGATCTGCAGCGCGATCTGCCAGCGCGATTCAAACTCCCCACCAAAACCACACGCGACGGGGCTGGGGACACGCGCAGAGTCGCTCAGTTGAGGGAAAAAAACAAATCTGAGTCACCGCGGCCGCGCACTGTGGTCGCGCTGCCAGCGCCGGGCGCCACTTGAATTTACTGTAAATCAGCCGGGGCGGCAGCGGGAGGGCCCAGCAGGGAGGGGGTCACAGCCCC